TGTTCTATAATTCTCTTTGAAATCTCAGGTTTGAACAGTTGAGTCTGCAGAGCGTGTGTTGTTAATGTCTAAAAAGGTTTATAAATAGATATTATCTTATAATAAGCTCAGATTATTCAAAAAAAATATTAAATAATTTAGATGTAACATATTTTTGAACACATAAATTAATAAATAATTTTATCATGTTCACTATAAAATTTAAGACCAAAACAACACTTAGGCTAATTAAAGGATTTGATTCAATTTATACTTTAATTTAAAAATTCAATTAAAATGATTTAAAATTAATATAAAATTTAATATGTAATTTTCAAACATACAATAAAATTAAATAAAAGTATCTTGAGAAATAAATTATTAAATTATTAATTAAGTTTGTGATGTATCATAAGATATATTATTTCAATCATAATTAACATTAAATTTCATAGTGATTTTGAGTGGCCTTCACTTTCTCTTTATTTAAAAAATGAAAAACTTCAGTCCTTGCAATCATAGAAAAGACAAAGGTGAAGATAGAGAAGCATGGCCACTTATAAATTAAAAAAAGAATATCAAAGGAAAAGGCAGTCAAATGGGAAAATAATTAATGATTCTTCCAGATCTTTAAGCACTACTCAACATGAATCGATCTTCCCCATAAACACCTAAATTATTTAGCGTAAAGTACACAAATAGTCCTCTAATTATAGGATTTTACTTTATTAAGTCCTTAAACTATTATAAATTATAAAAAAATATCATTTGATTATTCATATATTTCAAACTCGTCCTTTTTCGTTAAAAAAATTTATGGTAATATGAGCTGGACTTTAACATGTTAACTGAGATATGCTAAAATCTGATTATATAATCTCAAACGACTATCATATCTCAGTCAGCCAGTTAATGTCCGGCTCAGACAATTTTTTTTTTATCAAAAAAAGGATGGATTTGAAACATGAATAGTTGGAAGACCATTTTATAACGTTTAATAGTTAGGGTACTCAACTAAGCAATGTCTTATAGTCATCATTTTATAACTTTTAATAGTCAAGGGATTCGATAAAGTAATGTTCTAAAATCGAATGATAATTTTATAACTTTTAATAATAAATGGACTCAACAAAATAATATCCTATAGTCGAAGACTATTTGTGTACTTTACTCAATTACTTATTAATATACTTTAAGTAATGTGTCATGCGACCATTATATGATTAATTAATAATTAAAGATATAAAAAGAATCACTCCCTACTTCACGCTTTGCTCAAATAATTGGCTATCTCGAATAAGGAATTAGTTTGGCATATTCAACGGCCCACGTGATAATTTAGTTTAATTTGCAAAGGTAATTATTTCGTACGAGTGGAACTATTTTTTTAAGGTTCTACTTGTAAATTATTAATATGGAGTTTAGAGTAATATAGTTTGTACGTGAATCTCATTTAACATGAACCAAACAATTTTAATAATTAAGTAATTATTGTTATTTTTTAAGATATTGAGTTCGAGTATTGCGTATACATAGGTATGAGTATTTATTATTAATTAATTGATTGAGAGTTTTTGAACATATATTATCTTGTTTTCACTTCAGACTTATTAGAAAAAATTTCTTCTAAAAATTTATTTTTAATAAATTATTGATATTCCTTGAGATCTCGAGTTCGAGCATCATGAATGCCAAGAGTGTGAACGTGCAATGTCAAATGTTGAAAGTTATTTCTAAACAGATATTATCTTGTACTTAATTAACTATATTACCATATATATATAAGATGTTATAATCCAAAAGTTAAATACCACTTTTGTTAATTGTTGTATAGATGCTCTGTCAAATGTTACTGACAGATGGTTTAATTGATATTATTTAAATAATTAAGTGGTTTGATTGAAAAAAAAATGAACGATCAATGATCATATTGAAATCGTTCCATAGTTAAGTGGTCATGAGTGCAATTTTCCTTAACTATTATTTAACTTGTTGCAGCAGTTAAGTGTTGCTTACCCTAGGTCTCAAGTTCGATCCCCTCAAATATATTCATATTTTCTTTAATTTTCACTAATAAAATGATTACACGTGTTGCCATCTTTTTAGAGAATTAAATTTATTAAATTATTTAAAACTAAAATGAGGGCCAATCAAAAATAGTTTTATAAGTATTTAGAATTTAATTTATTAAATTATTTTTGAATTAGGATCAATTTAAGAGATTAAAGTCCTCCTATAATTAAGTGGTTGCTAGTGTAATTTATCTTAATTGTTATTCATCTTGTCGCGGTAGTTAAATGATCCTTTTCCTAGCTCAAAAGTTTGATCCCCTCGAATATATTCATACTTTCCTTAATTTTCAATAATAAGATGATGGTATCTGCTGAAATTTGTATGGAGGGTTAAATCTATTAAATTGTTTAGAATTATAATAAGTGTTAAACAGAGATGGTTTATAAATATTTAAGGTTTGATTTATTGGATTATTTTTGAATTAGGATCAATTTGACAAGACGTATCAATTTTGAAAATTAAAAGTATTATCATATCATATCATATCATATCATATCACTACCTTCGGACAACCATTTTAGAATAAAAACATAATATTATGGATCAAACAGTTCAAGAGAGTTGGTGACCAAAATGAAATTTTAATAATAGTTGAGTGACCAACATATTGTTTAGCCTAAAATTTCATTTTACTTCACTCAAAATTACTTTCCCGCATCAGTCATCACCCAAAGTCATATATCATATATGGTGTTTGTGATTTGATTTGAAGATAGATTTTCCACAAAAATCTACAACTTAAGGAATCCCCAGATGAGGTCTTCACTTGACACCTGTCAAGCGCCTTTGGATAAACTATACATTCAGTGTTTAAATTATTATTTAAGTATTTAAACTTTATTTTTTTTCTTTCAAAATCATATTTAACGTTTAACTTAAATTTTATTTTAGTATCTCATCAACTAAAATTTAACAGGTAAAATTGATATGCCACCATAAGATAATATTACATCATCAATGTGAGATAAAAATTTCAAGCCAGTAATTTATTTATTTTATTTTATTCATAAAATCATCATAATAATACTCGTCACAATCTTATCACTTATTGTAGGAGAAAAGATATCGTTAATATTTAAATAATTATTTTTATAATTATACTATAATTTAATTTTATCATCATATTTGTACAATACAGGTGTATGGTATTTAATTTTTTTGAATTAAATAAAAAGAAAGAGAAAAGGGTGGAACTGTTGGAATGAGAAATAGACAACACTTTGCTGCACATCGGTATCTGCTATGACTTGACGCTGAAGTAAGACCGTTATTGATACGCATGTGTATTTCGATTCCCAAATGCACCGAAAAAAGTGTTACGAGAATTATTACTCTTTCAACTTTATATGTAGATTTTTGGGTAAACTACAAGTTTAATGTCTAAACTATTATTTTTGTTCCATTTTGATACCTAAACCTTATTTTGTTTTAAAATCATATATAATGTTTGGCTTAGGTTTCATTTTGTTACCCGCCATTAAAAAACTAATAGTGATGTTGATGTATCACATAAGGTAATACCACATCATTATTGAAAAAAAATACAAAAAATACTACATTTAACGGTTTTGTTAATTCTTTAACGATGAGATACCAAATTAAAACCTAAGCTAAACATTAATCATGATTTTAAGAAATGAAATTTGGGTACCTAAACTTGTCACCACAAGGTTTATATTTCTTTGGCTAGTCTTTATAAATACATGTACGAAACTGTCATATTTGAAATAAAATGAAAAGTTAGTAAAGAAGAAAATGCGTCTAGGGGTTTACCTGAGAACGGGGATGAAAAGACGAGAAAATTTAGTGACGATAAATCAACCACAAGTTGTTCATACAAGTTGCTTTAAGTGGGAGAAGCACTTGCCTGGGTGAGGATGAGACGGAAGACAATTTACAAGGATGATAGCAGCCTTATCCATTTTTGTGTTGCAATCAAATACAATAGCCATTGTACTTCCCCAGTACCAAATGGAAGAATGCAACCAAATTTAAGGTCAAACCGTGTTTTGTCCAAATGCCATACCATAATATTATGCTTTATCACGTCTCCACATTCTCCATGGGATTCTTTTACTGTTTGCTTAGCTTTTGCATATTTGACAATACAATTGCTAAGTCTACGGATCAAACCAAGGTAGGATATCAAGTGTCACTATCTATGATATGTCATGAATTGAAAAGAGATGTAACTACTATACACAAAACAATCAGATTCCATTAACATCAAAAATGAGTCCAACACCAAATGCAGTTCAATTGGATACAACCATTAATGGAACACAACAGTTACAAATATTATAGTTTATATTTAACATTGAATTTTATGTAAAATTAAATGTGATGTAATGATAGTTGAGACATTAAATACATACTTATAATGATAGTATTCTCGATCAATATGATAGAAGTATTTATGTGCATGAGCATAATTATATTGTTAAACTCAACGGCTGGAATTATATCTTAACTTTCAACTTTTCTTGTAACACAAGAAATGACATGAAGTACATATGAAGCAAACAATTAAAAATAGGTTACGCAGCAGTTTCATCTTTTCTGCAAAATTACAAAATAAGAAGATTTCGCTCATGGAAAATTAGGTAGAGAAAGCTTGTGATAGTGTGAAAACTGAAAAACACCTACCAACCTTAGGAATTTGTACTTGAACATTATAAATTACTTGATTTGATTATTAATCCGAATATAAGGTATAATGTAGCTTAGTAACACCAACCTGAGTCCAGGCAGAGGAACGATGATAAACCGGCTCCTTCAACAAGGAAGCGAGGCTCTCCTTTGCAAAGGTTTAGCCATAGCTCTAGCTCACTACTCGTCCATGAGAGAAATTTGTAGTTTCAGCTTCAACACCTATGTGCACCACTCAACTAATGCTGTCAAACGAACATATAATCAAAAAATTAACAGAAGAATTACATAACCAAATAGACAACAGCCCAAAATATGATCCATTATGAGAGACCAACAGCATTGGTTTACCATTTCAGATGTCAAACAATCATAATTCAATTTTTCTACACACAAGTCCAAACAAGGCGAGAAAGGGCCTAATGTTACACTTCACCGATATAATATAACTGTCCTTCACTTAATATTTAAATCAAATCAAAAGGATCTAGTAAAGTGACAGCCTATGTAATCTCTAAAACTCAAGTAAAAATATAGTACAAAAATGTGCCTACTGAATTTAATACGGGTTGGAGCCATGCTGTGCACTGTAGTACTGGTAAGCACTTGGTCTAGCGTTGAAGTTGGCATATGGCCCTCGCCGAGAATTAAGTGGATAGGGGCTTTGCTGCACAGTCGAATTATAATATGGACTTTGATGAGCTTGCCTGTTTTGGAAGGTCTGTTGAGTACTCGCATTTTGGTAGGGGCCATATTGAGCATTCATTTTCTGATAAGAACTTTGGTGAACATTCGGATTAGGATACAAACCCTGTTGTGCATTCATGCTTTGTCCAAAAGAAACCATGAACGAGGGGAAAATGTTTTGAGCGGCAGTTTTACACTCATAAGATCCACGGAACTCTTCAAGGCCACCATTTTGAGAATCATCAAGCTTTAGCATTGATCTGGACACCTACACTTGCAAACAGAAACAAGTTAGCAAATCTTATACCTTTCTTTAACATTGCGCTTGACCTAAAAAGACGTACTCCTATATAAAAATACTAATTCATACAATATTTTTCTTTTAATAACCATGTAACACCAAATGTGGATAAATAATGTGTGGGATGTTACACTTTCCATAAGAAGAAATCTAGGATTTCAGTGCATTCCTTTCATTAAACAGTTAAAGAAATACCATTTCGAAACAAGATTGTGCCACCTTTCCTACTGAAAGACAAACACCATCAATGAAAAAGTAAGGCCAGAAACTTTGATAGATCTGAACTAGCTCATTTTTTTCAAGTGAGATCTCCAAACTATACGAGGTTCCAAGTTCTTGTCTACCAATTTAAGGATCAATTACCTCACTACTAGTGAAAATAGTACTTCCTCTGACGCCTAGTACAGAACTTGAAATGTTTTCAGGAACTTTAGCCTCAGGAGCATTGTTCTTATTTGGGTATCTGCAAAAACAGAATCCAACAAACCAAATCCATTAAGTTAAACATGAAAATTACACCAAGAAAGTTCCGATAACACCAGTACCTAGCAGCAGCTGGAGGAACAAAATAATTCTGAGGTTCATAGTCATACTCATGTCCACCACCACCCTTCAGAATAGCATAAAGAATACTTTTAGCTATTTAACCAAATCATAAGACATCTTGCAAATCCAAAGCTCAAAGACGTGCATCAAGGAGAAAACTATCCTCTTGACAACCACTTTCTCAACAAAGTACTGAAACAGGAAATAATGTCTTTCACAAGCTTGGGTTTTATAGGTTTATTGTGGTCATACCCTTTCATGGGTTTTATAGGTGTGTTTAATGGAATATTATTGATGATTACTAATATTTCTTGCAAACTAACAATAAGCAGCAAAATAAGACCAGGACAGATCTTCATTAGAATTTTTTAGCACATGGATTACTTGAAAGATTGAATTCTATTTATCTATCGAGTAAAATTTGTAGCATAAATTCGAAGTTATTAAAAGTACAGTGATATGCCAGGGTTTCTTTTCTTTTCTTTTTTTAGTTTTCACATGTTTGGAAGTATAATTTAACTTTCAATATAGGTACATCGTCCAAGGAATAGCAGAAAACAGTAGACTTCAAAGAAAAGCTATAACCATATAAAGGATTCAAATTGATGTCGCAGACATGTTTTTGGTCACATTTATCACAGTTAAGGATGTAATGAACGTTACCAAAATCAATTGTGACAAATAACGACCATGAATTTTGACAACGGAGAGAACCTAAACTGCGATATTATGGACATACCATCAGATTGTAGCCACTATTTAAATCCCCGCTCCATATTCACCAAGTAATGGTAAACATTTTTAAATTTAGGAGTGAAACATTTAACTTTGAAATGTATCCTTAGTATATAAAGAATTATATGTTGAACTCCTTTAAGATTAAATTCAATGTTCTTTTGTATCAATAGAAATAAGTTATTGTTCCAAATATAAAGAAAATAAAATGCTGCCTATATATGATATTGACAAATACAATCACAGAATTCATACGGATGCAGTACACAAAAAACTTTATCTTGGTTTGGTTAGAAGTTAATATTATAAGCTGTTAGATAGAACCAGACTTGTTATGACAATGAAAGCTAAATTCGGGAAAAGCTATCTTGACTGAATGACCCCATTGATTTTATGCAGTCAACAAACTAAACTCAAAATGACTTGGCTCGTAATAACTTATGACCTAAAACGACCAGAACCAGTATCAACTTAAACCTGAAACTTAGATTTTTAGCATAAATTTTATTGTTTTCTCAAACTTAAATTTAAATTTGATTAACAATGACCAAAATAATTAATTTATCATCAGAAGTAACTACACCTCAACACAACCTAAATTGATTCTAAAAATGCATGACCCAGACATAAGTAACTTGGAATTAAAAAATTATCCAAACCTAAAACGACTAAAACCAATCACGCTCTTCTCTAAGTGGCCTGGAAACCAATCGGATCTGAGAGACAAGATATGGGAGAGAGAAAAGTAGAGAGAGAAAAGTTAAAAGGGAAAATAGTTTCCGACGAGGTCTGGAAGGCTTTTGTCGATAATCTTAGTAGGAGAGTTTCTCGGCGGGAGCTTAGGGATATCTTTTCGTCCCATGGGACTGTGGAGAGAGTTTTCATCCCGAAAGAAACCAAAAATCCAAAATACAGATTTTCCACTTTCGCTTTTGTTCAGTTTGAGAGGGAATCTAGTTTGAAGAGGGCAATCGAGATGTTGAATGGTTCACTGATAGATGGGAGAAGGATTTCTGTTGGAGTTGCTAAATACAATGATGCTCGTCCAAGGATTGTGGCAAACAAGAGTCCAGGTAAGTTGGTTCCAGATTTGTCCACAGCAGGACCTCCTAAGTTGAAAGAGGTAGATTTATCCAGTAGGAGTGTTAGAGATGATAGAACGTACAGAGATGCTTTACTTACTGAGGTTACGAGGGTGAATGCATTGGAGTATAGGGAGAAATTTTCTGAAGGGAGCCATAGGGAGAAAACCAAGAAGAATGTATTGGAAATGTATATCCCAACTGAGGGTCGGAGTTGGGTCAGAAGATCTTTAACGGGGATTATTAAGCTCTCTCTTGATTTTAAGTCAGTTTATGAGTTTTTCCTCAGTAACGGTTATGAAGTTCAGATTGCTGGTTGGGGTTATGCCCGTAACTCCTGTGCTATCATCTTCAAATCTCAAGAGGAGATGTCGGAGGCATGGACAAAGAAGAGAGGTGTTATAGGCTTCTGGTTTGACAGATTGGCCCCTTTACTGAATGAAGAAGGAGTGCCAATGGCTTTCTGCCAGCTCGAGTTATCTGGGGTGCCTCTGTTATGCTGGGATGAATCTTTTTTGGTACAAGTTGCTGGGAGATGGGGGAATAACGTAGAAATTCATGAGTCCACAAAGAATAGGGATGATCTCACGTCTGCTAGAATTCTTATGAGAGTTGCTAGTCCTTTTGATGTTCCCGATATTATTACTCTCGGCTCCTATGGCAGATCGTATAGAGTCTCCATTAAAGTTGGATCAGCTAGTGAAGATTCAAATCCTTTTTTTAAATTTTCTCCGACGACCGGAACATTTGGGAAACAGTTTAGTGAGACAGGGTCTGAGGAAGGCGATTATAGAGGGAAGTCAGATTATGAGGAAAGCTCAGTCAAATCAGCTGAGACGCTCAGACAAAAGGTTGACTTGTGGATTGAAAAGGGCATGGCCTTTGGTTCAGAAGGTACTGATGGGAAAAAACAACATCTTCCAAGACTTACTAAACATGGGAAAAATATTAATGAAGGAGTGTCAGATGGTCAGAACCTTGGGAATATCAGAGGTGACTTTGCAGGTCTGGGTATCAGATTTTCAAAAAGTTCGGCTGATGGGCCAGAAGCCCAATCTGAGAACTTTGAACTGGGTGGTTTGGAGGCTTCAAACATAATTCCTTCTGGGCCAGCGTATACAATTAATAAATTTGGTAAGTTGGTCCAGAACAGGGGAATTGCAGAAGCAAGCTGTGTCAGAAAATAATATAAGGGGTTCAGCTCTATTCCAGGTTCGCCCGGCAGTGCGGATCTGGAGGTTAATAACACTAACTCTAAGCTGACAGCTCCTAGTTCAGAATTATCAAAGAGCTTATCAAGGGGCAGAACGAGGGTGGTGCGTAGAAGTTCCCTTTCTACAAAAAGTGAGCCTCTTCAGAGGAGGGAAATGGCTAGCTTTAGAAGAGTCTACAGAAGATGTAAGGAGAGGAATTACTGGTACGGGAATGATCAAAAAGAAAATAATGCTACAGAGGATGTGATAGGCCTAAAGAAGGCTAATGAACAGGATTATACGACGGTTCTCCAGATTACTACAACATCAGAGCCTAATTTAGGGGGCAGTGAGGTTCCAAATTTAGTGGATAAAGCTGGGGCCAGGAGTTTGGTTGAAGAGTCCGAAGGTGGTGTTAAGGGAAAACATTTGCCTATCTACAATTCTGACCCTACTAAGAGAAGGGCAAAAAGAATTCTGGTTAGAGAAGCTTTGGAACATGTCAATATTTATACAGCATCGTCTTCAGGTTTCTCGGAAAACTTGGATGAAGCAGTAGCTACATGGCAAGTTAGTCAGATTCTGGGGGTTTCTTTTACACAGGGGAAGGAAGCTTTCTTGGATAAAATCATTGAGCTAGAGAAAGGTTTGAAGGAGGCAAACTAAGTTGCCATCTTGGGGAAACTAGATTATTCATCAGTTTTTATGAAGGATAAACTACCTATAATCTCATGGAATGTCAGGGGTTTGGGAAAAAGAGAGAAACAAAGAGCAGTTCAAAGATTAGTCTCCAACTATCATCCTTCTTTTCTTTGGTTACAAGAAACTAAAACAGAGAACATCCATAGGTCTTTTTTGAGAAGGGATTGAATATTTTTCAGTGGGTTATTGAATCTCCAGCTACTGGTTCTTCAGGGGGGTTATTATTTTGTTGGGATGAAAATGTGTTTGAAATGGAAAACCACAGCATTAACAGAAGATTCATTGCGGTTATAGGGAAGTTCAGGTTTAATCAGTTCAGAAGTATTCTCATTAATGTTTATGGACCCTCAGTGGATGGAGAAAAAGAAAGTTTTTTTGAAGAACTGAGCGTGTTCATTACTGGACAGGAGCTGCCGGTTTGTGTTGGAGGGGACCTTAATGTCTACTTGTGTGAGGATGAGAAGGTGGGCAGAGCTCAGAACATACTTTCAATGAGGATCTTCACTCAGTTTATTCAGTCAACAGGTTTAATTAATCTGCCTTTGAATGGGGGAAGGTTCACTTGGTGCAATAACCAAGATGATCCGACTTTTGTTAGGTTGGACAGGTTTTTGGTGGACGGAAAATTCTTGGATGGTTTTCCCGAGGTAATTCAGTCACTTATTCCTAAGTCTATTTCAGACCATAATGCTATTCTTTTACAAGATGGCGGAGTTGATTGGGGGAAAAAACCTTTCAGACTATATAATTATTTGATGGAGGAAGAAGGTTTTGAGGAAATGGTCTGTCACACTATAGCAGATTGCAAGAAGGATGGGAGAAAAGCTGGAATCCTAAGTGTTTTGAAGAAGTCTAAGGTTGCCATTAAGAATTGGACAGGGCAGAAAAATCAATTTCTGGGAGCCTCTATCTCAGATTTGGAAAGGAGAATTCACAAGTTAGAGGAGGACGTTCAGATGTTGCAGGACAGTTCGGTTCAAGGGAAAATCGAGGAGTTACGTAATTGTAGATCAGAGTTGTGGAGATTCCTGAGAATTGAGGAACAAATTTGGCATCAAAATTCCAGAAAGAAGTGGATTAACGATGGGGACCGAAACACTAGATTCTTCCATACTTGCGCTTCAGTTAGAAGAAAACGGAATGCGTTGAATGCCTTGTTAATTGAGGGGAATATTACTCATGATCCAGCAGTAATTAAGGCCACTGTTAAAGAGCACTTTTTTAATATTTTCAATAATCGGTCTACTTTGGATGTGGAAGACATTGGGTTGACGTTTCCTAGAATTTCCATGGCTCAAAACATTTTTTTAGAGAAGGAATTTTCAGAGGAGGAGGTTTGGGAGACTTTAAAGTCTTGCGATAGTAATAAGGCTCCGGGGCCCGACGGATTGAACTTGGGATTTTTTAAAAGGTTTTGGTCTGAACTTAAAGGTAACATCATGCAATTTTTTCACAGATTCCACAGGGGGAAAAATTGGGAACATGGTATTAACCATACCTTTATTACCCTTATTCCTAAGGGTTCTAACATTGGAAGTTTAGATGATTATAGACCTATTAGTCTAGTAGGAGGTGTATACAAGATTCTTTCCAAGTGTCTGTCAAGGAGGATTAGAAGCTGTATGGGAGAGATCATCAGCCAATCACAATTTGCTTTTATACCCGGTCGGTAAATTTTGGATTGCTCCCTCATTGCTAACGAGGGCATTGATTATTGGAGGAAGAAAGGGCTAAAGGGTTGTGTTTTTAAAGTAGATTTCAAAAATGCTTATGACACGGTTGATTGGCCTATCTTATTCAAGGTGATGGAAAAGATGGGATTTGGTTCGACTTGGATTAGTTGGATCAGGAAATGTGTCTCTACTGCCTCCATTTCAGTGTTAGTCAATGGGTCTCCAACCGAGGAATTTCCGATGGCCAAGGGACTAAGACAGGGGTGTTCACTTTCACCTTTGTTATTCAATCTAGTAGGGGAGTTGTTGAATTTATTAATACTGCGGGCTGTTTCTGAAGGACTATTTTCTGGTTTGACAGTTGGTAAGGAGGAAGGGTCTTTCAAGCTCACACATTTACAATTTGCTGATGATTTAATTATCTTCTGTGGAGCTTCGAAAACACAGATAATGAATGTGAAGAGGGTACTCAGAGTTTTTGAGGTTATGTCAGGGCTGCAACTTAATCTAAAGAAAAGCAGTTTGTTTGGGATTAATATATCCCAAGAGGAGGTTCAGACCTGGGCAGCCTCTATTGGTTGTTCGGTGGGGAGCTTCCCCTCTAATTACCTCAGTCTCCCATTAGGGGCAACTAAGAATGCATCGGCTATTTGGGAACCGGTGGTGCAGAATTTTCATACTAAATTAGCGGGTTGGAAGGCTGCTACACTTTCTTTAGCAGGGAGACTGGTTTTGATCAAATCGATTCTGTCCTCATTGCCTACATATTTCTTGTCTATGTTCAAGATTCCAGTTTCAATCCTTAAGACTCTAAATTCGATCATGTCTAATTTTTTATGGGGAGGGGGAGGGGGAAATGGTTCAAAGAAGATTCACTGGGTTAAATGGGATGATGTATGTAAACCTAAGAACGAGGGTGGTCTGGGAGTCCGGAATCTGACTAGTATGAATAGAGCATTGCTAGGGAAATGGTGTTGGAGATTTGCAAATGAGAGACACTCTGTTTGGAGGAATTTTATCTGTAGTAAATACAACATTGATTCTTCAAGGTTACTGTTTGATAGCAAGGTTCCTACTCAATCTTCTTGGCTTTGGAGATCGGTGGTTAACAATCATTACAAACAAGACTCCTTTGGCTCTAAGTTTCAAAGTTTGTGTAGTTTTTATGTTGGAAATGGTAAGCTTATTCGTTTTTGGCAAGATAATTGGGCTGCAGATTATCCGCTTCAGTTTCTCTTTCCTAGATTGTTTTCGGTTTCTTCTAATAGATCTGGTAAACTTTGTGAGTTTGGGGAATTCCTTCCTTCTGGCTGGGTTTGGGATGTCCAAATCAGAAGAAATTTAAATGATTGGGAGGTTGAACAATGGTGTAATTTGATGAGCTTTATCTCTCCCTATTCTTTGTCTAAAGATTCCAGCGATATTTTACTTTGGAAAGGCAATGGGGATGGTGTTTTTCAGTCAGTTCTTGTATTAAAAGGTGTGCTTCTGGATCAGATGATGGTTGCTTCTGGAATAACATTATTTGGAGAGGTTTGGTACCCCTAGAGTTGAGTCTTTAATGTGGCAGGTTGTGCTTGGCAAGCTAGCTGTTAAATCCGAACTGATCAGAAGAGGGGTTCAAGGTATCGAAGATGATTTATGCCCTCTTTGTAAATTGGTTGAGGAAACTTCCACGCACTTATTCTTTACATGTTCGGTTGCATGGGCTATGTGGTACAAGTTTTATAATTTTTGGAGATTTAGTTATGTGCTTCCTGCTGATGCAAAAACCTTTCTTACTGCTTGGGATGAGTTGAAATCAAATTCTTCTATTTGGGCTTTCATTCCTGGGGCTATCATTTGGACCATTTGGAAGGCCAGAAATTTTATTGTCTTTGAAAGGGGAAAGCTTGATCAATTAGAGTTATTTTTCTTATCACGGGTTAGGTTGGCTTCTTGGTTTCTAGCTAAGCACAAGGACGTTTCTATTCATAAGGATTCCTTGATTATGGATCCTTCATTAGCAGATTCCTACTCGCCCTACAGCTCTATGAAGTCTTCCTCACTCCCTTGGGGACCTCCCCCTTCGGGTTTTTTAAAATTGAATGTGGACGCAGCCGTTAGTAGTGACTGGAAGAAATCGGGTATAGGAGGTATTTGGAGGGATCATTCAGGTTCAGTCCTAGGATCTTTTCAAGAGCCAGCTGGTCCGGGACCTCCGACTATGATTGAACTTAAAGCTATTCAGAGGGGTATTGCATTATATGCTTCTGCTCAAGGGAGGGTCAAAGATAGGCTGGTTGTTGAGAGTGATAGCAGAGTTGCAGTAGACTGGATCAACAATGTTAATTCATGCCCAGGTGTTTATGCTTCCGTTGTTAGGGATATTGTTGACAATCTTAGAGCTTTGGGAGGGGTTATAAATTGGGTTGCTAGGTCAGCTAATATGGACGCCGATGCTTTAGCAAAGGCTGGAATAGGCTAATTTTTATGTTGTTTGCTGTTTCAGTTTAGCTTTTGATTCCTGTTCGGGTGGGGTTTACGTAATGTTGTAAGGGTTATTTCGAAGAGATTTATCGAGGTTGTAATCTTATTTTCTTTAAATGAAATATAAGGCGCTCTTTTCCTCCTTCCAATGATTAAGGAGCTCTCAAGATCCATTAATCAAGAAGGAGGTTTTTAATGAGGCCTTCTAATCTTATCAAAAAAAAAACGACTAAAACCCAAATCAGCCAGACCCAAAATTACTGGAACCCAAATCACCAAACCTAAAAATGATCTGAATACCAATTCACTCGATATGATCCGATCACCAAAAAAGGAGTCAATGAAAATTATGGTTTGAATTTTAGGAAGATAAAGCATTGAAGTAACTAAAGCAAGTGAATACCCTGGAAGATTCAAATACACCACAGTGACCAGGCCCTATTGCAGCAGGAGGTGATTGACAATCAGGCATGTTTCTTGAGGGACCAAATCCACGAACAGACACAACAGAAGCAGTTTTGGCTCCAGCATTCGCATCTCGCAATGTTCTTACTCTAAGTCTGGAAGCAATCTCAGCCAAAGCATCCTTAACAATGCCAAAATTGCCAGATATCTGAATGGAAAAAAATGAATCTTTACATAAAACAAAGCTGAAATATTGAAAATATTAGGCCTTCAGGAAATGAATAGAACAATTACAGAAACACCCTTGACGAGTATATTTTCAACAGGATTACCTGTATTAGCTCTTCATCCTCACAAGCACACTTAGGCTTGTCATCCTTCGAACATACACGAATGTCTGCCTGGGTTCTCCTCCTCATCTCATTGATTACATGGCCTCCCTGACCAAGAATGCATCCAACCTTGCTTGACGGAACAAGTAACCTAGTAGTAATTGAACCTTTCTCGGATAATTCACTAGTTTTATTCTGAAGCTGTAGAATGGCATCTATTGTCGGTGATCGAGTGTTCCCAAGAACCTAGAAAAATATATGGACTATCATTAGCATTCTTTTTTTTTTATATACAAAGCTTAAGTCAACAGGGAAGAGTTGATATTTAAAAGAAAAAAACCGTCAACTTTTTTTCCTCAAAGGAATGAAGCTTGAATCAAAATAGAAAAGACCTCAATTCCAGAGACACGGATCACTCGCTCATCTGACTCAGTTTCCGACTCAGTTGATGCATCCTCGACATGAATGCCCGCTCCTGTTTCCTGCTGTAACTGTTTAACATTAAAGCCACCCTTGCCGATTACACCACCAATCTTCCCAGCTGAACACACAATTTTCATTGAAAACTCAGATGAAGCTTCAACACCACATTCCGGAGGAATACTGTTGAAGCTACCTGGCCCAGTTCCAGATAGCTGGTCTCGACGAGGACCCATCCATGGCATTGGCAGACTATCGCGGAGAGAAAAATTCCGATGAGACCACATAGAATTGCTGAGTGGAAGAGCATTGGGAGAGAAATTCTGGCCTGCATGAGACTCAGGGAAACTCAAAGGAGGCTTTTCTTTCCGTGGGTTTTCATACAAGAGAGTGGAAACTTCATAGAGTGCCCTCTTTGTGACATCTCGTTTTCCTGATATCTGCAGTAAATTCCAAAAATTAGGGAATTGCAAGAAACTATCTTCTGACAACAATTTTTCAGAGATCAAACCATGAATGGTTAAGACCAATGCCTCTCGTTTTCCTGACACTGGTAGTAAATTCCATAAACTACAGTTTGTAGGGAATTGCAAAAAATACAGACTTGTAAGAAACAATCAACTGACAACAGTTTTTAGAGATCAAACCCTGAATGGTCCAGTATTACCTATAGGCTTTGTGCCCAGCAACTAGGAAAATACACAAGAAATGAGAAATAAATAAGTTTATTGAAACACAGGGCAAGGATTTCAGTAATCATAGCACTAAAAATCCATGACAGGAGAAAAAGTGGCCAACATAAATCTTTGACTTCCCACTAAATCAATCTACTGACAACTATCTGACAATCAGACGTATAGGCTGACAAACTACATCCCAAGCCTTCCCACTGAAACAAAACTTAATAATATATAAGACCAGCCTCCAAAATTTATATGTTGATCACATCAACATAAAAGGCATAGACAGAAGGGTAAAGTAACAGACACAAAATAAAAATATCCTTAAAATGTTGCTGTTTTCTGTACCATCAGTCACTCGGTACCTTCCCATGCCGATATGACAAAGTAAAAAGCAACATGACTCCACCCACCTCTCAAGCATGTCTAGGCTCGTCCTTCGCTTCTTCAGCCACTTGATAAAAAGGCATGGTAGTTTTAAAACAAATTTGCTATAGGCATCTTAAATCTTTGAAAAACAAATTGACCCCCGAATATTCTTCCTTGCTGAACACAATAAATTGCTCAAACAGATTCATTCAACCTGTAGATACAATGGCATAATACATCTTCAAGACAAGCAATGGCTAGAGATCTGGCTAGCTGCTTGAAAAGCAAGGTTAGAGCCTATACGAACCAGTAAAACTGCAGCCAACTATACATATTCACAAGGACAGATTAAAATGAGAAATCAATCAAGCTTTAACACATTACAATGCAAAATATGTTCATGATTTCTTCTACCCCAAATCACCATCTCGTCTGGCACATGAAGCAAATATTAATACGTTCCACTAGTATATCGCATCGCATCCTATAGTGTACATATAGTATAAAATCATTTATCACGACTTAAGTCAATCCATCGTTATAAATTATCAATAATCTAATTGAATTCAATCATATTAACATTGATATGTACATGATGAAAGAGATCCAAAGCAAAGAAATCGGTGCTGAGTTCCTGGCCATCTATGGCAAAGCCCACTTATAAAATAAGAAAGTCATAACTTGAAGACACACATAAATTACCCTAACCCATGTCTAATTAATTTATAACCCAAAGAAAGATCTTCAACAGATAGCCAGGATTTCTCGCCATCAGCAATTACTGATTCTAGCCATTCAAGCCTCCCTTCACAAACCATAAAATCTTAAATGATATGAATTTGCTTTAGCAACACATCAAATAGAACTCCTGGGCTTGAGAAGTCCATGCTCAACTTTACTGACAGTGGTGTATAAGGGAAATCTTTTTGAAGGCAAACTGAATATAGAGCAGTACGGAAATTTACTTTAGCTAAAGACCTCAGGCACAAATGTGACGGAAAAAAATTAACTTTAGTTTCAAAGGGAGCTAAGAATTATTATTTTGTATGACTTGCTTCAGCAAGCCTGAAGCCCAAACCTAATAAGTGAACGCCACTCTTATTTAGTAACTCCACCCACTAGATATTATTAGCTTGCTGCCAATAGGAGGGAAGACGTGGCTTGGAAGAACAAACAGGCATATGAGTCTTATGAGCAAAAATGCAACTAATTAACGGACTATATAAGAACAAACAGCAGCATTCCTCACACTTAGTAGAGCATAAGGCTAATCAAGTATAAGTCATTCCTTTAAAGAGAAGCCCTATCCCGTATAAAACTGACTCATAAAGATATAAAGGATATTTATATTTGGGCATGAATGGCCCAACACATGCCACATAACCAATGCTAAATACAGACAGTGCAGACAACTCAGTATCCCTAGATACATAACATCTTTCTCATACATCATTCTCACGCTAATGTTCTTAGTCACATTTCAGAATATTTAGACATTATAGGCCATCCTCCCTCCATGAAATTGGAGATGGGCCAAAATGTAAATTCTAAAGGCCTAACTGTTCAAAGATTGCACTTCATTCAACTCCAAGCTAGCGATTCAACATCAATTTTAGAGCATACAAGCAAGACGTATAGGCAGTAATAATTTTAACTTCTAAATTAGAGTTTCAATTAGTATTCACAAAACATTGAAGCAGCAACTGGTTTGTATTGAAATTCAAATATACCGTGAAGAGTTATTATAAGATAAAGGGAATTCAACATTTCAGCCATTAAAGAAGACGTATGCAAGAGTCACTCAACGTTTTAGCATGATAATTTCTTAATGAAACATATACAATAAACAAAAATGTGAGTTTAGAGATACCTGCACTAATTCATCAGTTGCCATTGCAAAAGCAGGGAGATCAGCCGGAAAAACACGGATAGTCGCACCTGTGCCACTTCGCAATCTTTGAATCACATCACCCCCTCTCCCTAGAAGACATCCTACCATATTATTTGGAACAAGAAGTCGTGCAGTAACAACAGTATCTGCATTATCATCAGCGGCCACCATCCCACCAAAAAGTTCTTCCTCAACAATCTTATCATGAACTTTCAACAAAGCATCCTGTGCAGCACAGCAAGGCTCCATGGCTACCTGTACCACCGCCTCTTTCTCATTCTCACCACCAGAATCGTCAATAGAGTTCTGTTCTTTCACCCTCATTGGAGAACTATAAATAGCAATAACTCTCTCATCACAACCAAGAACTGAATCACCAACCGTAATCTTAGCCCGAGTCATCTGCCTTAATGCTTTTACCATATTCCCACCCTTCCCGATAACACCACCATTTTTTCTCGAAGGACAAAGTACACGGAATACAATGTCTCCAGGATTCAAATTTCCGGAAAACTGTTCGTGGGCAGAATTAATACCCAGTTTTAGTTTCCTATTATTATTGGCCGGTTTTCTTTTAAAGGGCGTATTCGTCAGTTTTCTAAAGAAATTCCTCTTCCCCCCATCCATTTCCAGGCAAAACAATTCCTTCTTTAAGGGATTTGCCTCAGAAAATTCCCCCAAAAGAACTAAACAACTAATATATTCTCAGTAACAAAATTAAACCCTATACGAGCTCAAATTAAGATACCTGAAAAGGATAAAAGTTAAAGATTCCAGGCGTTAGTTGCTAGGGTTTCTACGCTTGAAACAGGAGTTTAAAATAATTAAGAAATGCAGACAATTTATTTCAAATGAACGGGATTCAAAAATGAAAAATGAAGAAACAAGGAAAGGTGAGGGTTGAAAAAGAAGGGAGAAGCCGCTTACCTGAGAGTAATATCGAGGATTAAGGGAAAGAGAGTGGAATGAGATCAAATCAAAGAGTTTTTGTTTCTTTCCTTCGTCTTGAGAGCTCTTTTCGACACGGGATGTCTAAGCTAATATTTGTATTTTAAAACGTTTAACGTGGTATATATCTATATTGCTTAAGGATAAACTATACGGATGATCCCTTATATGTTGTCTATTTGATTTTATTCATTGATTCAGAAAAAAAAAAGAATGGTTTCAAACTTTCAATCCCTTATTTGATTTTAATACTTCGACCAATAACTCCGTTAACATATTAACAGAAGTTTGAGTTAATGGTTAAACTTTTTTCAAAAAAATCAGTGTCTTTTCATCCTCCTCCTCCTCCTCCTCTTCTCCGTCAGCCGCAATTTTACATCTTGTACAAATAGTCTTTCACCTCTTCACATGAATATATGAAGATCTTTCTCACGTGAATATATAAAATATAGTAAGAAGCTATGCATTAGTATGCTTGTTCACCTCTCCCGTTACCTTTCCTTTTGTTTTGGATGTTGTTTGTTATCTATAAAAGGGTTGCTTCAGGCCTTCTCTTTTAGATACATATAATTTGTGGGTATTAATAGTTGTTTGTGTTTTGCATGGTTAAAGACACATGATTGTAAGAAACCCTAGCTGGGCCTCACCTATAAAGTTTTTCATAGAATCCGGAGCTTTTGTTTCTTTATTTTTGTCTCACTTTTCTTAATTCATTTCTTTCGCTCTCTCTTATATATACCAAGGCAGTGTTGGTATTACAAACGAAAGAGCTCTCTTCAATCCATTTCGAGGCAGTCGAGAGGGCTAAAACTTGGCTGCTGACTCGTTGGTTCAGAAGCTCATCGATCACACTGCTGACCAGAGTCGCTGCATCAGTAGCTTGCCAGTTTCCCATTCTTTTCCAGAGGAAGGAAAAGGAACCTATCTGAGCGGAGAGGAGAAAATATGCTGTAGTAGGGTTTCTTACTGAGGAGAGCCTAGGTAAGCGGGAGTTAACGTTCGATGGACTAAAGTTGAACGTAAGGTGTCGAAACTACTCTTTTTTTGAACTAGTGACTAAAAGCAGACGGACAAAAAAAATACAAGGGACTATCTATATCTATATAGTTTATTCTTTGTTAAGAAAATACCCAAATTGTGTTTTTTCTCTTTTTCATTAAGATGTCTAAACTTTTTTTTCCAAAGTAGTTACTGAATGCTTTCGACGTTTCATTTTAAATGTATGATCCATAATGGATGTTAAAATACTTGATAAAAATCAGTTAATACTTAAAATGTGACGCGTTGCATATTTATAAAATTTTGAATAAATTATTATTATTATTATTTGTAAAATCCTCAAAATTCTTAATTTCATAGCATCAACCCACTCGTAAAGCAAACAACGCAAATGTAATCTAACAACCATGAAGCAGACAACCCCTAACTTTGAAGATCTTCCACCATGCCCACCAAGCTAATCCCTTTTTGTATATATGCTTCCACCCAAGCAACCCATAGGCATCCAGAATGCATCATAATCAGCCAGAGGTTCTCGTGCATGCATGATTTGTTCCATATAAGGTCTTTAAAACGAAGACCTCCCACAGACTTTGAAAAACATGCATTCTTGCTCATTTGGCATTTCCTCCTTCCCTTCTTGTCACCAAGGGTAATCCTAAATATCTAACAGGTACCCCTATCTTAATTCCAGTTTGCTAAACAGAATTAAGATCTTGGCTAACAGCACTGCTATTTTTTGCACTTTTAGTCAGTGTTTTCAACGCGTAGACTTAATGTTCCAGACACAGTTTCCTAAGCAACGGAGCCTGGAAAATAATTCACAACGAATACAGTAGAGACAAACAGAGATTACGAGACATATTGGTATAAACATAAATAAGATACTCGCATTCATAACCATTTACAGAGTAATGCAACGAAGCAAAATCTATACAGAATTTCCCATGGTGGTGATCTCCGTTTCCAACAACATTATATCAATCAATCTTCTACCAATTGTATCCCACATCTTACATGTATATATTACAAAAGGACCATAATTCAAACCTTTCTTCACATCACAATCTTCTCTTTGCCTCTCCCACCTTGTCTTCCCTTGAATCAAACTACTTACAACGGCTATTAGCAATCAAAAACATGTTATATGCACACTACTTAACTGAAATTATCTCTACTTTCCTCCAAAATTATCAGCTTTTAAGCGGCTTTGTTTCCTGGAATGGTGGCATTTAGATTTCCTGTATGTACACTTGTGGTTTAAGTTTTAGGCCATAGCAGAGATGCTGGAATTCTGGCGATTTCTGTTAAGGCAATCAAATCCTTCTACTCTAACAGTGGCCAGTTTATAGCCAAACTTCATCCTAGTACACCCTCCTTTATGTAATGATGAGGATGACGGAGACAATGGAGATGAAATTTGCAGGGCTGTAAAACTTTCAACACCAAATTCAGCATCATGGACAAGTGGATTTGAAACCCTACTTGGAGGCGACCCACCAAAAAATGGGGGTGGTGATGCCACTTGGTCTGCATATGGTTCTATCCCAAAATCCTCCTGCAAAAGACACCAGAAACATGTTAATCTTATTATGACAGATTGAAGTGTGAGTATCAAACTCAACTAATATTCAACTCTCGAAGATTTTCATGTTCAAAAATATTAATCCATATTTCTAAATCTCATAACATACATACTGAACAACAGTAAGATGGATTTGTCAATAATGTTTATTCTTAACAGAATCATAACCTCATAGCTTAAGTTACTCAGACAAATTTTGATGTGTTGTATTGGATTTGCATCCAACAAAGCAATATACTTTTTTCTAAGATTTTCATGTATTAGAAGGTTTTTGAAGGATCATACAAACTCATATCACAGACATATTTGCACCAAACACAGCTAATTCAGCTTATCATATCCTTACCGTCGTTTTCGGATACAAGTCAAATTCAAACATGATAATCATATTCATATACTTGGAAAAAGATGAAAAGTTGGAGCTCGGATTCAACAATACCTTCTTCAATATGATATCTAAAAGGTCGGCACCGGCACTCATATCACTCATCTCGGAATGATGACTGAAACCAAAATCCAAAAACACAATTAAACGACAATGATTGGAAACAAAACAAATCAACCCAAAATTAACAAATAAAGATTCAAATTGAAGACAAGAGAACAGGAAAGAAGAAACGTATACCTCAAGTGCAATCTCACAGGCCTGCTGGGGTTATTGGCAAGAACCCCAATTCGTCGAGGTTTAGGGAAAATAACAGGGACGGCCCTGTGATGATCATAAGCCGAAACAACGGCGTTTTGTAGAAGATTGCAATGATCCATCTTCCCCGAGAAAAAAATCGAAAAGAAGACCTATGCAAGAAACCCTAAAGAAGAACAAGTCAAATCCCAGATCCAAAAACTAAGACTCAATTAAAATCATTCAATAAAGAGAACCCGGAGTTTTTTAATGGTAAAAAGAACAGATCTTGAGCCTAACCTCGAGGGGAAAACTAATTTGGGATTAAATCAAGTAAAACCCAGTATTTATATAATTTAACGAGAGAGTCAAATTTAAAAAGCCCGAAAATTCTGGGATTAATTAAGAGATAAGAACTAAGAATGAAAAAAAAAACCAAAAGGGAAGTTCAACTTTTACAGCTAGAAACACATCAGATCGGCAATAGAATCGCTTTGAACTTTGACTAAAAAACAGATTTGTTTTAACTGAACAAAAATAGGGGGAAGCACAAAGGGGGGAAATGGAAACAAGAGATGCATACATGTATGAAATTCGATTACCTGGAGGAATCCTTTGAAGGAAAGGGCGGGTGCCACGAGGAAGAAGAAACAAGGCAAAGGCATCGAAAGGAAATTATATAGAGGGCATATTGTCACGGGCTAGAAACTTGGGTCTGAATATCAATGTAAGCGTCCGATCAATAGGTTCAATACGGAGTATCAGGTTTATCGAGACAACCAGACTTAACCCAATTCTTGTATAATGCTTAACAAGTCTGTGAATGATCTATTCTGAGGCGTCCGAGAGAAGCGACGAGGGCGATGGAGGCAGTGTTATCGAGGCTCGTAGATTCGAACCGAGACATGTATGTAGATATATATAAGAGAATAATACAGACTATTGGACTTGCCCAGAACCATCAGATCTGGCCCATTCCTTGAAGGATTCTAGAAGGATAATGTTATGTGAGATTTCCTTAAATTCAAGGAGGTGAGATAGGTGGGAATCAATCATAACCCTTCATGTAAAACGATCTTGGCCATCGATTGAGAGGGAACTCAACTATAAATAGAGAGCTCTCCTCCTCATTTGTAATCACCCAATTTCATTATTCTCTTTGTGAGAGTAATATAAGCTCTGAGGCATTTGTTTTATTCTTTTTAAGTTCTTTAGTTCTATTTGTTATTGCCTATCTCGGTGGCCAAGAGTAGTCACACTTGTGTTAGCACTTTCACATGATAGTCCGACCTTGTGACTCGGAGTAGCCACGTTGGTGTTTAAAGCTTCTGCAATCTGAAGCCTTGAGGGCTTGGTTCAAACCTTTGTGAGTTTGTACGCTCACTTAGTTTGAGTAAGGCTTACTTAGCCGTCGAGAAGACCGATGAGCGTCTAAAGCGTCTAAGGCCGCACGACCCATCAGATCTTGACTCTGATATTTCGACGGTTTGAGACGTCGAAATTCTGAGGGCGTGACAAGTGGTATCAGAGCCAGTCGTTGTGGGCATACAACGATCGTTTCGATTGTATTTGGTGGAATGTGCGAAACCGGGTAAGTTTGTTTTACTTACTTTCAATCAATTTACTTTGATAATTAAGATGTGACACAAGAGGAAAGGAGTTTCCGCACGCAAAGGCAATGAGTGCCATGGTGGGAAACAAGAAGAGAGTCTGGTGGACTCAAGAGCATCGTCGGTGTCCAAGCATGGGGATGTCATGATGAGTTCGTAAGGAATGCTTGAGGCAACAAAAGTACACCAAGAGGAGCCAGTTCTCGAGGTGGAGAGGCTCAAGGGTGACGCCGAAAGTATGTCAGAGCGAGACGACACGTTCTCTCATGAAGACGAGGAGAGTCTTCATGAGGAACATGGAGATGAACTCACGATCGACGAGAAATAGGCCTATTTGATGGAAGGTTTGGCTTTCCACACGCAAAGGTTCATCAAGTTAGAGGAGATCTCAAATTCGTGGGAAAAGAGGGTCGGGAGACTTGAACAAGGCGAGGATGAGGCCAAGGAGACCCAAGGTGTTGTGGAGTCCCGCCTTGATAGATTGGAGTCCATGGAGGGCAGATTCAAGGTCGAGACGCAACGAGTTGGAGACAGTTCGAAGGAGTAATTCTCAAGAAGCCGAGGTAACGGCTTTGAGATACGAGGTAGATGAGCTCAAGAAGGAGCTACTCATATACAAGGGAGCAATGAGTGAATGGGGTGCGCTCAAGACCTTCTTGGAAGGACTCAGACCAGGGGCGATGCTCGGGGAAGAGCAAGGTGATGCCCAAAGACTTTTGGAAGCCATAACTGTAGTCGGAAAGCTTAATGAGGTTGCAGATGTCAAGCCAATGAGCGATGTGTCGTCCATGTCCATGCCCATGCTCAGGGATGGTGGCAATAATGAGGGAGACCGGGAAAAGGTGTAGTGGGGAGATGATATAGAAAGCTCTTCGAGTGGCCAAGTTGAGCCATCGACTATTCGTATTCGAGGAAAGCCATTGGGAAATAATGGCAAGGCTAAGTCCGGTGTGAACAAGAATGGGAGCAAGGAAAAGCTGAAATGCTACTTCTGTGATGGTCCTCATTTGATTAGAGGATGTCCCGATAAGCGTCGCCTTGCAACCATCATGAGGATGATGGGAGAAAGAGAAGGAGAAGTAGGAGGAATTGACGGAGGCACAAGTGTTGCCAAGTCAAGAAAAAGACTTGGTTCGATTGAGATGATCAATACGGCCAAGCAAGGATCAAGACTAGGCAAGGTTGTCGATGATTAGACGGTCGAACCAAGAGGGAAGCCAGTGCGATTGCGAGTGTTCGAGCAATCAAGTTAGGGGCAAGACTTGATGAGGCTACATGTTCCAAAGTAGCCGAATCAATGAGCAAGCATGGTGCGACTACAAGTTCTCAAGTAGTCAATCCAGGATCGAGACTTGGTGAGATTGCAAGTGTCAAAGCAGTCGAGTACAGGAAAAGACCCGATGCAATTGCGAATGATAAAGCCATTAAGCCGAGGGTGTAAAGTGAGCAAGTCCGCTCACAATATGCTAGGATTGAGGCGTGGTCTAAGTTGAGGCGTCTCAGGCATAAAGGGACACTTAAGGAGTACGTGAGCCGATTCAGAAGAATCATGCTCAAAGTCCCAAGTTTGACTAAAGAAGAAGGATTCTTCACTTTCATGTTCGGATTAAAGCCGTGGGCCAAAAGGGCATTGGAGCGAAGAGAAGTCAAGGAGTTGTCTAAAGCCTTAACAACCGCGAAGTCCGTCAAAGAGTTTGGAGTCAAGGAGAACAAGATTTCCAAATCCAAGGCAAAAGCCAAGGGTAGCGGTAAGAGATTCCGAGATGAAGGCAAGTCGGAAGATGAGGAAGGTTGTTCCACGAGTGGTAGAGAAGATCCACTCAACGATGAACCAGACGGTGGATCTGGTGAAGATGTGTGCAATCTTGGCATAAGTTTAAGTGCTGAAGATGTTAAGTTGTGGGTAAGAGTCGAGCAACCGAATGGGCGTAAACTTAAGATGCTGGAATTGCTGCGAGACTACCCGATAAGAGTCGAGTCATCCAATGTAATGGATGAGCCCAGGATCGTGTTGTCCAAAGAAGAGGACGAACCAATGATCGAGGGGGAGTTGAGACTTGGCTCAGTATGGTTCATCTCTGCCAAGGCAAATAGAAGCCAAGTGCAGGAGACACCACCCATTTCAAAGGTGGGAAGCAAGCTCCAACCTTCGTGTTAGAAGGGAGGATGCAAGAAGGGGCATCGGACTTTGCCGTGAGAAAGTGCCGATGCATGATGGCGCAAAGAACTCCAATGACAAGGGTTCAATGCTGGGAGTGTCAGACTTCATGGAGCAAGAAGGGCTGATGCAAAAATTTTGAGTAAATGCCAACTAAATCAGATGGGAATGTACATCTTAACACATTGCTTGTGTTCTTTTGAGTTTTATTTGACGTTTTATGCGAGTATAGGTCGGGCAAGACCTAACCTTTAGCGCGGGGGAAAGAAATTTTGGATGAGATCCAAGACTTTGCCGCAAGGGATAAGAGGGTTCAAGCTGAGGCAAATCAAGACTTTTAGGAAAAAGTTCCTACGGCAGAGATGCACTTGTGGGCGTGTTAGCCCGTTTCATCACTTGGCGGCAAGAGACGAAGCAAGAACAACCATTATGGGAGGCCGAGTCCTTATGGGGGGACATGAGCAAGTGGAGGCGTCGAAAGGCAACCAAGTTGATGTGAAGTATGGCGTAAAAGATCGGGAAGTTACATGCGTAAGAAGCCAAGGCAAACAGTCAGTATGGGAGAACCGCAACCAGCCAAGGCACTGAAGAGTATCCAAGTTGGTGTTGCCCAGGATCGTCGAGTGGAGCGACGAGGGCGTTGCTAGGTTTGGTGTAAGCGTCCGACCAAGAGGTTCAATACGGAGTATCGAGCTTACCGAGACCACCAGAGTTAGCCTAATTCTTGGAGAATGCTTAACAAGTCCGTGAAGGATCTATTCCGAGGCGTTTGAGAGAAGCGACGAGGGTGATGGGGGCAGTGTTGTCAAGGCTCGTGGATTCGAACCGAGACATGTGTGCAGATATATGTAAGAGAATAATACAGACTATTGGACTTGCCCAGAACCATCAGATCTGGCCCGTTCCTTGGAGGATTCTAGAAGGATAATGTTATGTGGGATTTCCTTAAATTAAGGGAGGTGGGTTAGGTGGGAATCAATCCTAGCCCTTCATGTAAAACGATCTTAGCCATCGATTGAGAGGGAGCTCAACTATAAATAGAGAGCTCTCCTTCTCATTTGTAATCACTCAATTCCATTCTTCTCTTTGAGAGAGTAATATAAACTATGAGGCATTTGCTCTATTCTTTTCGAGTTCTTTAGTTCTCTTTGTTGTTGCCTATCTCGGTGGCCAAGAGTAGCCACACTCGTGTTAGCACTTCCACACGATAGTCCGACCTTGTGACTCGGAGTAGCCACGTTGGTGTTTAAAGCTTCCGCAATCCGAAGCCTTGAGGGCTTGGTTCCAACCATTGTGAGTTTGCACGCTCACTTAGCTTGGGTAAGGCTTACTTAGTCGCCGAGAAGACCGAGGAGCGTCTAAAGGGTCTAAGGCCGCACGACATGTTAGACCTTAACTATGATATTCTAACGGTTTGAGGCGTCAAAGTTCTGAGGGCGTGACAATATGTATAAGTGACTTCAACGTTTTTTTTTAAGT